TCAAACTCCATCTCTGCATGTTGTTGTGAGTTTAGGTTTATTATAACGCTCATCTGGGAACGCAACGTCAGATTTGTAAGGTGAATCATTTATAAATCCACGCAAACACAGGAGAATAAATCATTATCTCACGGTTTCAAAATAAAAGCTCAAACCCTCACTCCTGAGTTTACACGTTTTGATGTCCACATATTCTTTTAATTACAGAGGCTATAGCATTTCTGTGCTAAAGAAATGGCCAAATATTAAAGATTAAGTGGACATTTGAATTAAATGGTGCTTGGTCAACAAGTAATAGATCGCAAGTAATGTGTAAAACCATATGATTTCTTGCTTTTGATACTTTATTTGAACTAATAATTATTGCCTCATTGCTATTACATATGTATTTTAAGTAAATTTAAAGGCTATTGTTCACTTCACCTACATCTATTTTTATTACCACAAAAATTAATTATTAATTATATTTTATTAGTAGTAGACCAGAACACGTGGACATGTTGTCAGCTGAATGAACTTTCAGTCAAACGAATATCAGCATTTCATACAACAACGCCCATAAAAACACACATCTGTCACACACTGATAACAGGAACAACAGACAACTGCACACACACGTCAGGAAGGAACTGAGGATCTTGTGTTTTCATGCATTGACAGTGATTTTATTCCATAAAAGCCCTTTAAAGCGGTTGCTGTCAAAGCTATTCGGGCGCAGCTGATAAGAGTGGTAATGCTTGATGGATGTAGTTTAATAACAGTTGGAAAAATACATCATGACATACTTGCAGTGAGTGAGTTTGTGCAGCTTTTCGCATGATTTTGAGACACATATAAACTACAGCAGTGAAGCAGGACGCAGCAGCGGCGCATTTAAAAACAGAACAGTGCGACTTTTCAAAATAAAAGTCCGCAGGTCCCTAAAGTTCATTACTGTTGTTTGCGGGAGAGGAGTATAGAAGCAAATGAAAGAAAAGATAGTTGCGACCTTTTATATCACAAGTCGGATTTTTTCAGTCCACAAATTATAAATGTAAAATTAATCATGTCTTTTCACGATATGTATTTATTTATTTATCTATGAATTAATTAATTCAGTTTTTCATTCATTCATTTGTTTGTGCTGTAAAGCATTTAGGAGTGTTTTGCTTAAAAAGACTTATTTTGTGGCGTTTTGCCTTTATTTAGTTAGGACAGTGTAATGACTGGGAAGCAAGTGGTAGAGAGACGGGGGCGGGATCGGGAAAACCCCACGAACCTGGGGCATGTTCAAGCTCAAACCGGTGTGCACCGTTTTGCTACGGCTTCCGGGTTGAACGACATGTTTCCTGGAAACGGTGTGCAACGGTGTGTAACGGGTTTGAGATGCGTTTTCTCTTGTTTGGTGGGATGTAAACCACGTGGTATTAAAGAGACAGCTAGCACAATGTAATTAACATCCAAATAAATTCACAAGAGCATGTATATTGTTTGCACATGTTTATTTACATTAAAGGCAAAATAACTAAAATAATAAGGTCACAAGTATAGATCTGGAACTTCTTTAAGTCTGTCTAAATATCATTTAGTAATTGCAATGTCTTCTATTGTGTGCTAAATACTGATTAATGTAACATAAAAATACTATACATATTTATATATTTTGCTATTGTATTGTGGAGTGAAGCTTTCATAAACTTTTCTATACTGCTCTGATTATATAATGGTAAATATTACAATAACATAGCACAACAACAGTGATCAGCAATAATGATAAGCCTAAAACTCACAATAAACATAATAAGGTCATATAGATCATAACACAGTCTCGGAGGTAAGAAGTGGATTATCCTTCACCTGAAATGTTTGTCTTTTCATCCTGAAATGCGAGGCAAATGTTGGATCACAATAATTAGGAACCACAGTTTCCACAAATCCCTTCACTCGATTGGGATGTTCTCTTTTATTCTGGACGGCAAGGGCAATGACTGTACCATCGAGCGTATTTTGCAGTATTAAACACGTATTTATACCGATTTCATCAGGCTCCGAAAATTCCGACCCGTACTGCCTGAGGTCTCCCAGTCAGGAAGTCCAATAGCCAGTTGCACAGCGAAGTGTTGAGCCCCAGCTGGACCAGTTTGTGAATGAGCTGTTGAGGGATGATTGTGTTGAATGCTGAACTGAAGTCTATGAACAGCATTCTGACGTATGAGTCTTTTTTGTCCAGATGTGTGAGTGCTGAGTGGAGGGTAGTGGCGATGGCGTCATCGGTCGAGCGGTTGGACCGATATGCAAACTGGAAGGGGTCCAGGGATGGGGGGGGCAGACTTGATATGGTGCATGACTAGCCATTCAAAGCACTTCATGAGAATAGGAGTAAGTGCAACTGGATGGTAGTCATTGAAGCAGGATGGAGATGGCTTCTTCGGGACTGGAATGATGGTAGTAGCTTTGAAGCATGTGGGGACAACAGCCTGGCTTAGTGAGATGTTGAAAATGTCTGTGACGACATCAGTGAGTTCCACAGTGACATAGACATGTGGGGGCGTGTTAGAACGAGGCGTTTTAGGTAGGCGTGGCAGAGTCTTAACTTTTATAAAGAATATCTCTTTGGATTTGAGACTTTAGTCTTTGCAACTTTACAGATCTTCTTTATGCACCAAGAGCTTGTAACACTCCAAAGAGAAAGGAAAACTTGAAATCGCATCATATGACCCCTTTAAATGTTTATTGTAATTGAAAAATAATTTTATACCTTCAAACAAATTCAACAACAGATGTCACTTCCATTGCGTCTCACTGTGATTTAGCGCAAGGGGCACTATACTTTTATGGTGAGTTTTCCATTTCAGGTCAATTTTTCGGAGCTAATTAGTTAAAGTAAGTTTTGTTTATTTATTTATTTTAATTCAATGCTTTGAACAACAACACAGAAAGGCATTCATAACTGGGAGATTTATTTAACTGGTAACTGTTTATAGCAACACTAATGTCGCCCCCTTGTTTTTAAGTTGAATGTGTGTCCGAATAACAAAAGTTATATCAGGTTTATCGAGTTTAACAGGTCATTGTGATTTACCCTTTATAGTCCATTGACAGAGTTGTTTAGTAGTCGGACAGCCGGGAAGACAGTGGAACAAAAACAGATAACTGAGAAATGCACAAATCTGATGGAGCTATTTATAGCTCAACCTACACAGGTTAATACCCCCTGTATACCTCAGTGTGCTCTAACTCTGTAAATGTTCACACTTTATATGTTTACATTACGTTACTCTTACCTCTTCATAGTGTGCAATATTATGTCTATTGTGCAACATTCCTGTGCAATATTTGTCCACTCACTGGAGCCTTTAGAATGCAAACAATGCAACATATACATCTTTTCTATTATGTGCCAACTGTGCAATAATGTGTGCAATACGATATTTAATAAGGCTTAAATTTGCACTATCGCCTTGTTTGTACTGTCTTTGTATTGTATTGTTAAACAGCATACCGTTTATCGCTGACTGTATTGCAGATAAGGCTTAACGTTTCACTATTGCCTTGTTTGCATTGGCTTGTGTATTGTTTGTCTTGTATTGTGTAGTAATAACACACTTTATTATTAGTATTACTTTTTTTTGTATTACAGATGTTTAAGTTACATGTGACTGCACTGTTAGGATTGCTCAAATTTCACTATACTTGTATAGTGACAATAAAGAAACGCCCCACATCGACTTGATGTGGCCACTTGTCAAAGAATTTTGGACTGATCTATCAAAATCCCTTGCTTCAAAAAAATCCAAAGTAGACATTGATTTAACTTTGTGTGATATAATCTGTTGTTTTTCCTCATTGTAATCATAATATAGCATATAGGCTATGAAATGTAGTATTTATTTTATTGGCAAAATATTTTATTCATAAATGTACATTTTTTCCTTAAAAGTACCCAAATCAAATAATAAAAATTTTTTTTTGAGACTACAACTACTACAGACTGATCATTGTTTGACATCAAAGTCCCGCGAGAGCGATTTGAAAGCATGCAGAGCCGTTTGCTCTCTACAGCTGTCGTCATACAGTGATCGGTCTGCACAGTATATCACACGAGTGCTGTTGAACAGTTCAATAAATTAAAACTTAATATTGTGTTATATTTTAGACACAATATTGTTTTTGCTCCGTTTTGCCAATGCAAATGTCACCTATTAAAGCCACAGCAGAACTGTTGTGTCTCCAAGCAACAGAATTTCTGAAAGAATCCGCGTTTTGAACGAATCTGGTGAACCAGTGATTCAGTGGCCCATTCATAAAGAGAGCCATTTACTTCATTACTGAATGAATCAGCCATTTGAACGAATCGAGAGAATGAGTGAATGACTCAATGAATATGAATATGAATAATTTCATATTTACATATAAAAATCTGAATATAAAAATTAAAAAATCCATATTAATAATAAAAAAAAAATTTCAATAATAAAATTAAATAAAAATGAAAGGGATAGATCACCCAAAAATTAAAAAAATTATAAAAATAAATAAAAAAAATCTTTCTAAAGCTACTGTTTGTAATATCTATTTCATGCTTTTCTCATGTAACACAATAGTGGCTTTAAATTATCTCTTGTGGGTCATTTCTCAGCCAAATTTGATGTGCGATTAATATGTGATTAATTAGATTAATTAATTGGCACATTGTGGAATTAATTAGATTAAAATTTAAAAAAATTGACAGCCCTAATATATAGCTCTCTCTCTCTCTCTCTCTCTGTGTGTGTGTGTGTGTTTTTGTGACAAATGAGGACATAAATTTGTATAATGACAAGGGTATGACATAGGTATTACAAGGAGAAGGTGACTTTTCAGGACATTACCCCATGTCCCCACTTTTCAAAACGCATATAAATCACACAGAATGGAGTGTACTGAAAATCTGAAATAGCACAAAGTTTCCTGTGAGGGGTAGGTTTAGGGGTAGGGTTGGTAAAGGGCAATAGAATATACGGTCTGTACAGTATAAAAACCATTACGCCTATGGGATGTCCCCACTTGTCACAAAAACAAACCTGTGTGTGTGTGTGTGTGAGTGTGTGTGTGTGTGTGGGTGTGAGTGTGTGTTTGTGTGTGTGTGTGTGTGTGTGTGTGCGTGTGAGTGTGTGTGTGTGTGTGCGTGTGAGTGTGTGGGTGTGGGTGTGTGGCTGTGTTTGTGCAAATTTTTGCTCATAAATATAAAACTTGGGAAACGTGCTCGTCTAATAAAAAATGCAACCGTCTACGCGTATTTTGATGCTGATTGGATGAAACTGCAGCTCTGACTCCTCCCCCTCTCGCATATAATTAGGAAGTCCAGCAGGCGTGTTGGTGCCGATCGCCGATCCTCTCCGGTTCCTCGCGGAAACACCTTCATCGCTTCAGGTTCACCTGCTGAAGATATAAACACTTACAGCACGATGAAGATGAACGAGTCGCTTCACGCGTTTGACTTCGAGCGTCAGTTTAACGATCGCGCCGCGCAGGAATGGTTTGAGCAGAACTGGTGAGTCGAATTATCAGAAGCGAATCACTGATTCATTTGAATTCATTCTATTACTCCTGATGAATGAACAATATTACAATGCATACACAAAAGCAGAATAAAATACAATAGGCTGGGATGCTATATATATATATATATATATACACATAAAGTCTGATATGCAATACATTATAATACTTATTATATAATAAAAAACAATAACAGACAGTACAAGATGCTTAAAATGTGCAATGTATGTCACATTTCTAACATGCATTCTGCTTTTACCTTTCATAAAGGCAGTAGGTAGTATGTTTAAACACTCCTTACTCATTAAAATGAAGCAATAAAGTCTGAGAGAATCACCTTTTGACCTTTCATCTTAAATATCACAATCACATTAACAAACCAGAACTGGTGATTCAGTGCATTAATGTGTGTGCTGGTGAACTATATAAGTGTTCAGACAGTTTTACAGGAGATTTATGACTCTGCTGTGATTGATGGATCGATGTCGGTGATAAGACAGGTTCACGTGGAGGACGGCAGAGATTCACTCACCTTTGACCTTTCAGCTGATTGTGACGTCAAAATCTGCCCATGTTCTAATAAAGCGTCCAGAAACCTTTTATTGGCAGGTTCAGATCAGGACAGAGTGGTTATATATAAAACTGTTGAGCTCTTGAATGAGCTTGAGGTTGTCCTTTGAATGAATTTATTCTTTTCTTCAATTTTTACATCTTTTATTGTATTTTTAAATGTATTTTTAAATATTTTTATGTAAAGCACTTTTGAATTACCAGTATGAATGTATGCTATATAAATAAATATATATGCGCTATATAAATAAGCCTTGCCTTGCTGTCACTTTTATTCTTTAATATCCACACATATATGTAATATCTCTATGTATATGTTTTCATCAGGTCTTAAAGTGAATCCTGTGTGTTTCAGGGGAGCAGCGTTTGTTCTGTCGGGTGTGTATGTGGTGGTTATATTTCTTGGACGTGTCTTTATGAAGGACAGGCAGAAGCTGGAGCTGCGGAAGCCTCTCGTGCTCTGGTCATTAAGTCTGGCCATATTCAGGTGAGACGCCTGTCGTCTGATAAAATCATACAGGAACTGAGAGATATTAACTCAGAATTGCAATTCTGAGAAAAACAGTAAGAATTGTGAGATAAAAAGTTGCAATTGCTTTTTTTTTTTTTTTCATATTCTGTGGTGGGGAAAACAGAATTGTGAGATATAAGCTTGAGTTTACACCGCGCAATTCTGACTTTTTCTCTGAATTTTGAGTTTTATCTCGCAGTTCTTAGAAAAGTCAGAATTGTGACGTTTAAAATCAGAATTCTAAGAAAAATTTTTAGAATTGTAAGATGTCAACTTAAAATTATGAGAAAAAACTGTTAGAATTGTGAGATATAAACTCAGAAATCAGAGAAAAAAAATTTAGAATTGCAAGGTGTAAACTCAAAATTACGAGAAATTTTCATAAATAATCGTAAGTGTTAAATGTAAACTCAGAATTATGAGAAAAAAATTAAAAGTGAAATGTAAACTCAGAATTATGAGAAAAAAATTAAAAGTGAAATGTAAACTCAAAATTATGAGAAAAAAAATCATAAGTGTGAGATGTAAACTCAGAATTATGAGAAAAAATTATAGAATTGCCAGATGTAAACTCATAATTGTGAGAAATTTTCATAAATAATCATAAGTGTGAAATGTAAACTCAAAATTATGAGAAAAAAATGATAAGTGTGAGATGTAAACTCAAAATTGCAAGAAAAAAATCATAAGTGTGAGATGTAAACTCAGAAATCAGAGAAAAATTATGTTAGAATTGTGAGCTGTAAACTCAGAACTGCTAGAAAAACACTAAGAATTCTGTTTATATCTTGTAATTCTGTGGTTATGTATCACAATTCTGTCCTTTTTTCTCAGAAATGTGACAAAAAAGTCATTGTGAGTTGCATTTATACCCTTTTTAATTTTTTTAATGGGCCTCCATGAAGGACCAGAACTAACCCTAGTATTGTGGCGGTGAGTTTTACTCAGACTTTCTCTGTTTTGATGAGAAGTCTCTTGGATCAGATACGAGCTCAGTTTGAGGTATCTCTCCTCTGTGAGTTCTCTTGATTCTCTGAATGGAACAGATATGGTGTGTTTCCTCATTGCTGTTGTCTGTCTGTCAGTATAACGGGAGCGATGCGGGCAGGCTGGTACATGTTCAATATGGTGCAGTCACGCGGGCTTCAGGAGTCTGTGTGTGACACTGAGTTCTTCAGCGCCCCTGTCAGCAAGTTCTGGGCGTTTGCCTTCACTCTGAGTAAAGCGCCTGAGCTCGGTAAGACTTTCACATTAACTGCTGATTCTGTGACTGCTTTGGATAAAAGTGAGTAAATATAGCTCATAATTCATCCATTATTCCTTTGTTCTTCAGTGAAAAGAATTGGAACGAGTAGGAATTACTTTTAAACTATATTCACTCAGAAACTGCTAGTAAATTTCACAAATAGTTACAAAGAAATGTGGCCCTGTAGCACAAAAGCAGTCATAAGCAGCATATTAAGTAAAGATCATGTTCCATGAAGATATTTTGTAAATGTCCTACCGTAAATATATCAAAACTTAATTTTTGATTAGTAATATGCATTGCTTAGGACTTTATTTGGACAACTTTAAAGGCGATTTTCTCAATATTTAGATTTTTTTGCACCCTCAGATTCCAGATTTTCAAATAGTTGTATCTCAGCCAAATATTGTCCTATCCTAACAAACCATACATCAATGGAAGCTTATTTATTCAGCTTTCAGATGATGCATAAATCTCAATTTCACAAAATTGACCCTTATGACTGGTTTTGTGCTCCAGAGTCACATATGGCAAGTGACACATTGAATTAAACATGAAATTTTGAAGTTGAAAGACTGAAATAGTATTTTCATGTAAAACATACTCTATTAATATTTGAAAGATCATTTTTCATTGTGCAAAGTCATGCATATTATGTAAAGGTGTTTGGAAAGTCTGGCAGGTGTCACAGTTTTAGATTTGTATTTTTTAACACCTGTAAAGTACATTCAGACCTTTAGTTTATTTAAACTTTAAACTCAAACCCCCAACATTTATCACCTAAAATTAATGTTCCGGGTCCAAAACAATTATGCATTGCATTTGTGACACTCTGTTGATTATCATAAATAATTATGACTGTCCAAGAACAAACAAAAATTGCATTTACAGTTTGTTGTAAATGGCTTAAAAGCAGAAATGTGACACTCATATTTTTGTGTTATTATACACTTTTAAATGTGTTATTTGAGATGTAAAGTGTAGTGGTAAGAATACTCATCTAACCAGATTAACTTGTGGTTATGTGTTATGGGTACTAGTTTGCTTATGTAAACATCTTCATGAATATTTCACCCGAAAATACAAGAAATTATATTTAGCATCAGCAAAATTAAGCCATTTATTTATTTATTTGCATTGTGATATTTTTCATGACAATTAAGCACATTTAAGCTTCATGTTCTCATTATTATAACATAAAAAATTTAAACATCTATATATTATTTAATTTGTAAAGCATTTACATGACAGTTGTACACTGAAAAAAATGTAGTGTATAAACAATTTTGACTCAAATTTCAGTAACTACAAAGAAATTGCAAATAACATATTGAATTAAACATGCAATTTTGAAGCAGAAAAACTGAAAATAATTTTCTTGTAATTAATCATATTCTTATTAGGGCCCAAGCCACTAAGGCGCAGGGCCCTCTTGCTCTTCTAAGGATTTATTATTATTTATTTTTTTATTTTTTTACATTCCGGGGTTTTTGGGGGCCTTAACATGCTCAAAAACTCTTGAAAATTGGCACACACGTTGGAATCTGCGGCCATTAGGACGCCGCAGAGGCTGGGACCCGGGCGTGGCACAGGGGCTCTACTGCGCCCCCTGGAACATAGTCAGAAATAATAATTTGACACTCATTTGATACTGACCTATGACGTCCTGTGACATGACATTCATCTGAATTTACATCATCTCATAGATTTGACTGTTGTGATTCTAAAAAAGAGTAACAATAAAAAAAGATTTTCTTATATCTTTAAAGTGCATTATCCAAACAAAACTTTTTACATATGGAGAACAAGTCATTCTTAGGAACATGCTTAGTTTCATACATTTAAAATGCTCAGGGATGTTACAGACATTAACATTATACATTAGACAGACATTATACATTAACTATACATTTTACTTAATAATGTAGTAGTAAATTTTGAACATAGTATTAACTAAGATTCATAAATGCTATATAAATATTGTTCATGTTAACTAACATAGTTATTTAATGTTAACAACTAAAACCTTATTGTAAATTGTTACAAAAGTTTTATATATTATTCTCTTTCTGTGTGTGTGTGTGAGTGTGTGAGTGTGTGTGTGTGTGTGTGTGTGTGTATTTGAGAGAGAGAGAGAGAGAGTCTATTTTACACTCTTGGTTTAAAAGTCTCTTCATTTATATCTGTGATTTTGTCTGTAGTACTAAGCTGTAATGCAGGCAAAATTTTTCACAAATGCTTATAGATCCCTAAAATCATTTTTAAAAATGCTTAAAGGTTTTGGTAACACTTTTAAATAAGGTCTCTTTGGTTAACATTAGTTAATGCATTAACTAACATTAACTAAAAATGAACAATATATTTTTACAGCATTTATTAATTTTCTATAATGTCAGTTAATAAAAATATTCATGTTCATGTTACAATTTTACATTTTGTAACATTGTTACATTTTGTCAACTTTACATTTTAATAATGTATTAAATTTTGAACTTAATATTAATTAACATTCATAAATGTTATGTAATTTTCGTTTTGCAACTTCAAAAACTTTTTTTTTTTCAGTGCACAGCCTTTAACTTGTTAATTTAAATTGTAAAAAATCATTGAATCACGGTATTTTTTACACTAAAATACAAGGTAATAATTGTTATGAAAATAATGTCACAATGCAAAAAAATCTTAATGTTCTTAAAATAGGCTTCATTTTATTCATGCAACATGTTTCTCTAATGATTTTGGGGTGAAATGTGACTGATCAAATAATGTATAGTTGCATCTCAACTCTTTCTAGCGTCCTCATGCATATCATGTTACTGACTTTGCATTCTTATGATGGGAATTAAAAGATTGCATAAAAGATAACTTCTGGGTGAAAGCAAGAACTGATAAAATGTACACCTTGTGTTTGTAAACCTTTCAAACGCATGCATGTAAATGTAAAATAACTTTGCACAGATATGCTTAGCAAATGATTTTATTACACTGCATTAATTTATGCATGCATAATAACTCTAGATTTCCATTATAAGTGCATTAGTGTCTTTGAAGACCAGTTGAAATGATTTTTTGTGATATGCATGTCAAGAGCTGCTTGTGTTGTGTTTGTGGTGTTGTTCAGGGGACACGGTGTTCATCGTCCTGCGTAAGCAGCGTCTGATCTTCCTGCACTGGTATCATCACATCACCGTCCTGCTCTACTCCTGGTACACGTATAAAGACCGTGTGGCCGGCGGCGGCTGGTTCATGACCATGAACTACACCGTCCATGCATTCATGTACAGCTACTACACGGCTAAAGCAGCTGGCGCTCGTGTGCCGCGACCCTTCGCCATGCTGATCACGCTCATGCAGATCACGCAGATGCTCATGGGGCTAAGTTTCGTGGGGCTCCTCTACCTCTGGAAACATGACATCCACTGCTTCTCCACCATGCACAATATCATCTTCGCCTCTGTGATGTACCTCAGCTACCTGCTGCTCTTCTCCGTCTTCTTCTATCAGTCCTACCTCAAGCGCTCTGGAGACGAGAAGAGAGTGAAACGAGAGTGAGAAGAACTCATCACTGCCATCCACATCCATCCTGTTCCGTTCGGTATGCTCAGAGATTAAAATAAGTTTAAAGAAGAAGAATGAAATAAAAGAAGAAATAAAAATAAAGCCTAGTTTTAGGACCATAAACATTTTTTTTTTTAAATTCATTATTTTTTAAATATGCTATATATATATATATGAAGAATTCAGAAGCAAAACCCTCTAAATGCGAACATGGAGATTTAACATGCTTAATTGTCATTAAAAAATGTCACAATGCAATATATATATATTGCATTATGACATTTTTCAATGACAATTAGTGCATGTTAAATCTCCATGTTCTCATTATTTTAATGAAAGAAGTATTTCTTGTGCAGCATTTAAGTTGTCGATTTTATTTGAAGAAATTATTGAATTCCAGTAGCTATTTTTATAAGCTGTGCATAACTTGGTTAATTGTTATGAAAATGTCACAATGCAAAAAAAATGGTAAAAAGTGTTCTTAAAATAGGCTTTATTTCATTCATGCAAAATATGTGATTTTAAATGTTTTTCTAATGGTTTTAGGGTCAAAATGGATCAAATGTTCCTTTTTTTTAAATAAATGAATGAGTTAAACGTGTGTTAATGATACACATCTTGTGTGTTAAAGCATTGATTTTATCCCAGTGAAACAAAGCCACATTCTCCTCTGATGACTGTAACAATGAAACCTTTGATCGTGTAATGTTGACTTGTTACAAACATGAGTGATCAAAACCCTTCAAAACAGCAAAAAAATCCCCAAAAGTTGAGCTGCTGAATATTACAGTATATTCACACACAACTAACTACATTTGCCATAAAATGTCCAAATTTAATTTGCACAAAATCTCATTGCAAATGCAGACATGCAAGAAAGAATTTAAAAGGGTTTGCAGTTTATAGAGTTTAAAAGTGTCAGTAAAAATGAGCATATGCAGGTTTTCTCAGTATATATTACTGTAAAACAGATGCTGCACGTGACATACAGTACTCTCGTTAGTGTGTTATATTTCAGCACTTCTGAGTCCTACACTTACTGTGAATATAGCACTTCAGTACGTCAGAAAGATCTACGTGTAACTCTAAACCAGTTTGTCTGGAGAGCACAGAGTTGGTATTGTGTTTGTGGTTGTCGAGGCCTGTCAGACGGTGTAAAGTCGTCTTTCTGGTTAGTCAACATACAGCATTTGAGCTGATCTGGTTGATTGTCAGAGCAGCTAGATTCAGGTGTTGTCTCAGAGATTCATTATCTTCAGTTATCGCCTGTTCTTCTAGATCTTACCAAACATCATTTGAGTGTATTTTTCTCACCCTCTCTTTATATGAACAATTAACTAAATGTTATATTCATTTTAAAATATGAGTTTATTTGCAAAGTCCTGAAGGAACGTTCTGAAGCATGTGTTTATTAATAATAAACACCTAATAAACATATTTTTAGTTCTGTCATTTCTCAGATCTTTTGTTCAGAATCTCTTTAAGAGTTCAAAAAAGTGGGGTCAGGCAGATTTTTTTATGTTATTGAAAAAAGTCTCTTGTGCTCACCGAGGCTGCATTTATTTGGTCAAAAATAATGTGAAAATTGTGAAATGTTATTAGAATTTGAAACAGCTGTTTTCTATGTGAATCTCTGTTAAACTCTAATTTATTGCTGTGATCAATAGAATTTTCACTGAAGCCATATGGCGTTATTTTAATGAGAAATGCTGCCCTCTGCTGGACATGAGAGGAGAGGAGGAGCATCAGATCAGACCTCATGTGTTCCTCTCTCACTGTGTCTGAAAACACAGCACCAGACACTGAGAGAAAACACTTGCTGTCATGTGTTGATCTGTGAGGTTTTACTCTGAATGAAGATGAGTGGAGTTTGATCTGATGCAATGATTCAGAGAAGCTCTTCAGGAGGAGGGAAAATGTCTCTGTGGTTTCTGGTTCCCATCAGTTTGCCTGTGTTCACACTGCCTGGAATCTGGATCATGTGAGTTTATGTTAATCTGGCGATTTCATTTCAATAAAACTTTGAATGCATTTAAACTGAAACATATAGAAGATGTGATTATTTTAATATGAGATCTATTTCTGTTGCAGTAGTTTTGTTAATAATTTAAATTAGATCATTTATATTTTCTGTTTTCATTTTAGTTCATGTCGAGTAATGAATATTTTTTACGGTTTAAGTTCTACCGTAGTTAACAATAATGGCTGATATATTGAGAAAAAAGTATATTATTTTGGTTTTAAAATTGTATTGTATATATTACTGAATATATTGTAACTTTGTCTTAGAGAATTGGAGTTTATCCATTTAATCATAATGTTTATATTTACTCCTTAAATGCGTTTGCAATGTGTTTTAATTTAATTTTAGCTCGAGTGGAGTTAAATACCTTTCAGAAATGTATCACTTTGTAAACAGTTTCTATGCAAATCTTTTTGCAAAACTCATTTAGTAGTAATTAAGAATCAGCTTTGCCCAGTTGACCTGAAAACTTTTGTAAAGACATGTTGGTTTTTTAAAAAAGTAATCTGTACTCTTTTAACCTGTCTGTCTCTCTCTCTCTGTCTCACAGATATGCGATGGCCCTTTACAATCAGCATGTTTGTCCTGTGAATAACTGGTGAATATTGAACCCTCTCTCAGTGGAACACAGAGCATGCTGTGATTGATTTATTCAGATATCAATAGAATCTCCTCAACAATAATTGAATAAGATTTTGCTGAAGTGTTTGATTAGATCACATTGATTTTGAGGTTGAAGAGGCTGTTTGACTGCCACGTCTCTGTGTTTGTTCAGATTGATCAGTCTGTTAAATGCCAAACTATACAGTTTACTATCTCAAGAGTTTAGTTATCTCACATTCGTTAATGAGTAGGAAGGATTTTGCAATGTTAAAAATCAAAACCCTTGCAAAATCTTCGTTTTAACTTATTTTATGCATGCAAGTCAGCAAATATTGTCACAGTATGTGTGTGTTTGTAGGGTATATAACTCAACCTGTGAGACGTCTTTGGTTCTTCAGAGCGGATCTGATCTGTGCTGCACGCTGGACAACATCCCACTCATCAGGTACCAAAACATCACATTTTATTAGAAGATGAGCAAAAATTATATATTGTCAGTTTTTGTTTTTGATCCTCCTGATGTGTGTGCAGTAAATGCGGCGGTGTTCCTCCAGAGAGCTGCTGGTTCAGTCTACTGTGCAGCACTGCTTCATTCCTGGGTGAGTGATTCACTGATTCAGTTCTGAACTATTGAAACACTCATCTGACTCTACCAGCTCTTTCAGCATATTTAATCTGTTTTTGATGTGATTGTTCTGTTTTGTGTTACAGTAATTGCAATTGTTCTTTTTCGTGTGTTACAGTGATTGTTATTGGTCTGCTTCGTGTGTTACAGTGACTGTGATCATTCTGTTTGTGTGTTACAGTGACTGTGATTGGTCTGTTTCATGTGTTACAGTGACTGTGATCATTCTGTTTGTGTGTTACAGCGACTGTGATTGGTCTGTGTCATGTGTTACAGTGACTGTGATTGTTCTGTTTGTGTGTTACAGTGACTGTGATTGTTCTGTTTGTGTGTTACAGTGACTGTGATTGGTCTGTTTCATGTGTTACAATGACTGTGATTGGACTGTTTCGTGTGCTACAGTGATTGTGATTGTTCTGTTTTGTGTGTTACAGTGATTGTGATTGGTCTGCTGCGTTACGCTCAACTCATCCATAAGCACAGCAACAGCGTGTTGAACATCGAGGGTCTGTTTGCCGGATGGCTCTGTGCTGCAGGACTCATGATTGTGGGAAACTTCCAAGTAAGAAAACAAGAACAAAGCAGCAATTCTCTTTTCTCTTTTTGAGAATTTCTCCATAGACACCATTATTATATTTTAATAAATAATATAGATTATTTGTTATTTTAATACACTACTTTCACCAAGGTTCAATATTTTGAAACTTTTTTTACTGGATTATGATGTTTTTAACTCCTTTAGGGCTCTCTTTTTAAATTTGGTTGATACATATGAAAATAAATCTCCAGAATAGTTGATTTGGTAGAATGTTCTGGAACATCTTAAGTGCTGCTTTTCGTCCAGGCGTCTCCTCCAGATTTCTGCCTGCCCCTTTCAAATTTTATCAACATAAGAACAAACATGATTTGTTTTTCCTCATTCATTGAGACTTCTTTCCTGCTGCTATAGTTTATTAGAGCTTTGAATAAGCCCATAAATGTGTGTTTTTCTTTGCTTCAACAGGTATTATGAAATATTATTATCAGCATGATCAGATAAACACAGCTCACTGCACAGCGTCTCTACTGTGCACGTCCGCTGATTGTGTGTTATTGCATAAGTGTGAAATCAAAGGCATTCGGCCGTTTGATGTGTGTCCGTCTGCGTGTCCTGCAGTGATGGAGGTGTGTGCAGATGTGCTTTAACTAAGCAGTGAAAGTGGTTAGAGATCTGGGATAGAAACTCAAGGGCTTCAGGTTCAAACCCAGCAAGGGTTGCTCTGTAAACCGTCACCAGGAACAAAACACTAAACCTCAAGTTAATGAAGTGCAGTGGTTCTCTTTTTGACTGTAATGCCCTCCAGTGACAAAGACGGTATTCAAAGATATTTCTGAGACTTCTGCTGCTCAATTACCTTTTTATTTGTAGAAACGTCTCGGTTACATTTGTAACCGTTGTTCCCTGAAGGAGGGAACGGAGACGTCACGTCGGTGACCGATCTCGCTAGAGAGACCAATCCACTTCGAGTGTAACCTCCTTTGGAGAAGCCCTGATCATGATCCTCAAATCACCTCTGATCCCACCGGAAGCAGCAGAAAAACCATGCATTAAGAGATGGGGGGGGGGAAAACTTTTGAACAGAATGAAGATGTGTACATTTTTCTTATTTTGCCTAAGTATTATATTTTTTCATTTAGCCCTTCAGAAGCTACAGAAGATACTTACATGTTTCCCAGAAGACAAAATAAGTCAAATTTACCCTGATCTTTCAAATTCAAAAGTATTCACCCCCCGGCTCTTAATGCATGGTTTTTCCTTCTAGAGCATCAGTGAGCGTTTGAACCTTCTGTAATAGTTGCATACAAGTCCCTCAGTTGTCCTCAGTGTGAAAATATGGATCTCAAAATCATACAGTCACTGTTGGAAAGGGTTCAAATACACAAAAATTCTGGAAAACCAAAGAATTTGTGGAGCTGGGGGATTTTTCTGAAGAACAGCAGGCAGTTTAACTGCTCAGGACAAACAAGGGACTCATGAACAACTATCACTAAACAAAAAAAACACAGCTGTGGATCATTCAGCTAACAACACAGTATTAAGAATCAAGGGGATGTAAACTTTTGAACAGGGTCATTTTTTATAAATTCAGTTATTATATTTTCTTGTGTACTATATGTAAACAAACATCTTTTATGTGAAATATCTTATTCAGGTCAGTACTAAATAAACAATAACATCCCTCTTATTTTGGTCAAATAATTAGCATTTTGCAGATTCTGCAAGGTGTATGTGAACTTTTGACTTCAACTGTGAATGTGATGTCGTTTTACATCTTGATTTTTAGCCAAGCTAATTTTAAAGCTTGTTTTTCTTCGTTTTAAGTCATGTTGCAAAGATGGAAGTGAGAACCAGTGCTCTAAATGATACAAATGGGCCAGTAGCTTTTTTAAAAAGTACACTTTTGTACCTTATTTACCACTAAAGGGTGCATATTATTACCTTAAGGTAAGTATTATAACCTAAACTGTACATATTAGTACCTTTGAAAAAAGGTACCGTCCCAGTGCCAGATTTTGTGCCTTTTTTCTGAGAGTGAAGTGGGATTGAAACTGTAACGTGTTGACTCTGTGCTGTTTTCTGCAGGTGGACCATGCTAAAGTCCTTCATTATGTGGGCGCGGGTCTGGCCTTCCCTGGCAGTCTGCTGTTTGTGTGCGTGCAGACGCTGCTTTCGTACCGCGCAGCCGAGACGCCGAGAGACTTCCAGACGGCTCATCTGCGGCTGACGCTCACCGCACTGGCCTTCACCACCCTCATACTCAATATCCTCTACATGCAGTGCTCATTAAGTCATAAAACTGCTCCATATGGCCATAAACGCTCACTGTAAAAAATAAATAGTTGAGACTTAAACGTAAAAAAATAAGGCAGACTTTTGAGTTCTCTCAACAATAGTTTTTTAGTTCTGCTCAGTAAAGATACTGAGCTTGTTTAGCCAACGTAAATTTGTTTGTTCACGCAATGCTGATTGTCTTATTTTGCTAATAGAAAAATTCTTGTCACAGCAACTGAAACCACAATTACTGTCATTAAGGTAATTAATTTTTTTCTGTTACCTGGAAGATAAAAAGAATGTATAAAAAGTCACCACATTATCAGATTTATGTTTGTTTATGAATGACAAACGATAATGGATAACTTAGTCTAATAACTTTTTTTTGTAAAACAACTTTTAAGACTAAGATATCCAGAAAACAGACATAAGTGATTGAACATACTCTAGACACACAAACCTCAAGACAGTGGCAATCAACAAATGTTAAAAAGATGAGCTCTTTACATCATAGTGCAACAAATAACTAACAATAATGACGAAACAACAACAAAAAAGTTTAAATGAAGTAGGCAAACAGCAAAGCAATAATCCTATAACAGTAACTGCATACTTTCTCACAAAGCCTTAACATTGCAACAATATGAAATTCTTTGTTCAGACAACTGTGTTTTGACTAGTTGGGACAACATTTGGGGTCATTTTGTTGGTCTGACAAGGGTTTTTATGTAGTTTCAAGAAAATAGCATTTTTTAGTATTTGAGACTCAAAAGGTTTCGTAAACTGGAAAATGTGCAGTTGCATTTTTTTTTTACAGTGCTGTGCAGTTGTTCCTTAACGCTGTGTCCTGCAGGCGGTGTGTTTTTCATTCAGGAGAGTTTTGTTCTCCAGCACGCGGCTGCTATATTGGAGTGGATGTTTGCCATCATCGTGCTGCTGTTTTACAGCTCCTTCTCGCTCGAGTTTGGCTCCATCTCTTCAGAAACACTCGCCGCTCTGATGACGAGACGAGGCGGTGCGTCTGAGGACGGACACAGACTAGAGAAAGTCTAGACAAACGTCTGACGTGTGAACATCAGCCTAAAGAGAACATGAGGATTAACGTGCAACCTGCTGGAAAAACCTTTACAACCTTTATCTGCATTACAGACAATCTGAATTTAAGAATGTAGAAGAATTGTCAAATTCTTTGTTAAAGGAACACTCCACTATTTTTGAAAATAGGCTAATTTTCCGACTCCCCTAGAGTTAAACAGTTGAGTTTCACCGTTTTCGAATCCATTCAGCCGATCTCCGGGTCTGGCGGTAGCACTTTTAGCTGTAGCTTAGCATAGATCATTGAATCTGATTAGACCGTTAGCATCTCGCTCAAAAATGACCAAAGAGTTTCTAAATTTTTCCTATTTAAAACTTGACTCTTCTGTAGTTACATCGTGTACTAAGACCGACGGAAAATGAAAAGTTGCGATTTTCTAGGCCGATATGGCTAGGAACTATACTCTCATTCCGGCGTAATAATCAAGGAACTTTGCTGCCGTACCATGGGTGCAGCAGGCGCAATGATATTACGCAGCACCTGAAAATAGGCTAACTTCTGTCAACATAACCAACGTGACCACCTGCTTGCACAGGGAGTGTGCTGGGGACTATTTTCAGGCGCTGCGTAATATCATTGCAGAATATGTTATATGATATATTACGCCGGAATGAGAGACAGGTTCCTAGCCATATCGGCCTAGAAAATCGCAACTTTTCATTTTCCGTCGGTCACGCACACTCACACACACTCGCGCGCACACTCACACTCACACTCACACACACACACACACACACTCTCACACACACACACACACACACACACTCACACACTCTCACACACACACACTCGCACGCACGTACACACTCACACTCACACACACACACACACACACACACACACAAACACACACACACACACACACACACTCTCACACACACGCACACACACACTCCGTGAGCCGGAATGAGAGTATGGTTCCTAGCCATTTCGGCCTAGAAAATCACAACTTTTCATTTTACGTCGGTCTTAGTACACGATGCAACTACAGAAGAGTCAAGTTTTAAATAGGAAAAATATAGAATCTCTTTAGAATATTTCTATTTAGAAATATAGAAACTAAAAGTGCTACCGCCAGACCCGGAGATCGGCTGAATGGATTCGAAAACGGTAAAACTCTACTGTTTAACTCTAGGGCAGTTGGAAAATGAGCCTATTTTCAAAAATAGTGGAGTGTTCCTTTAAGATTAACAGAGAATCCCTTGATGCCCTTTTAGGAGCAAAACATGAAATGCCATGTTATGACTGTCTGGGAGTAAAAAATAAATAACTGTAAATACATAATTACGGAAGGGCTGTTTTGTGAAAAATGTGATTTCTCAAAACGAATGTGCACTTTAGTGTGGTCATTCATATACTGGCAGCTCTATTGGCAATATTTGCATATTTCTGTCTGGATTTATGATGAACTCGAGTTCAAGTGCCTAATAATTCAGTGTCTTGATATTCAGTTAACAAGTGTTCTTGAATCAGTCACTGTCTGTTAACAAGAAAACCATGTGTGAGCTTTAATTATAGTACAATTACATTTTATTGTTTGCACTGTACTGTCAATATATGTACCACTTTTCTACGGTAAGAAAGTTGTGTAATATTTTACTGGTTTATCTTCATGTCCACACAGCAAATATATCAGATTCATGACCTGCTGCTTCTTTACTGTTTATTTATTAAAATAGTTGAATCTGTTTTAGTATTTGAAGGAAGACAAGTCGAACAATTAAGTAATGAATTACTTTTAAAACATGATTGTGTAAAAACATGTACTACTAACACTTTGATTTATTATAGCATGATCCCAGCTAACAAGGAATGTTCTCACAACTTTCATTAGCGTTGTTAAAGTTATATAAATGTTAGGAAAAACGTTTTAAAGTAATGTTTATGGAACGTTCTTGTAACTTAATTAGTGTTTGATATAGGCCTACAGTACGTGCTCATAACAATGAGAGAAAACGTTTTATTTTGGGTGAAAATAAAGTTAGAAGAATGTTGTAAAAGCGTTTTTGTGACTGTTAAATAACGTTCAAATCACGACAAGCGTTTTAGAAATATTAATGTTCCCACAACGAATTTATAACCTGCATTTGTTAGCTGGGATTGCCGCCTTTTTTGTTTCAAGCCGGAAGTGTTTCGATGCTGCGCTGTTACCATGGAGATTGTAAGCAAAACGCTAATACAAACCAACGTGTCAACCACTGATCTATAATAGACAGTTCATTATATATAGATCAGTGGTGTCAACGCGTTAACATTAGCGATAACACGCAGTGCGTGCGTGTGTGTGTGTGTGTGTGAGAGTGTGAGTTTCCCTGTGCAGTAACAAACATCTCAGTACAAAAATCTGAACACTGGATGAAGTCAGTTTCAAAATTCTTAGGAGGGAATTTTGGGTATTTAATTTTTGTCACTTGACTGATAATTCAGAAAACACACAGAACAGACAGAAAACAATATATTTTCACAATTGTTTGGGGAATAAAATGTTGTATATAATCAAGCAAATTATATATGAACAAATCGCTCTGTAAAAACCTTCAGGATACAGACTATAGGAATAAAAATGTAAAGTTTGGTGTGTACTGAAGTGGAGATTTATGGCTCGGTGTAGGAGAAAAAACTAATTTTGAGAAAACGGCCTTTAAAAATATCTATTGTAATTGAAATCTATTGACACAAATAGATAAAGTGCTATAAAAGAAACACTTAATAGTGTCTTCTGGATGTTTTCTTTCCACTAGTCTGAAGAAACACTTTATGAAAAGCCAAAAAGCCCAAAATCTCAAAATTGACGGGTGCATTAAAAAACAGTGCTTTTTTAAATCATATTGATTTATAAATATCTATAAAATAACAATAGACAAAAAAAAAGTCTGGGAGTCTTTTGCTTCTACGTTCTCCGATTCGTCCAGGCATACAAAACAATGTGATTTATTATCAAACACATGCTGATGTTTTATTGCAGAACAGACTGTGAAAATATCATTGGCATATTTCTAAATCTCAGAGGGTTGACCGGTCAGAGTGTCTTCTGTTCTCTCTCCTGATTGGTTCATGTTTGTTTTATGCTAATTGTTCTGCTAGATATGTGTGTGTTTGAGGCTGTAATTTCAGTCTGAGATACAGGACAAAACATCATCCGCAGCAGACAGTAAGTATTCATACTGATTGGTTTTTCATAATTCTCATTCTAATCATTGGTTTATTGAAATATTAACTTCAAGTGATTATTTTAGCTCAAAGGTGTTCAGATAAACAAAAAAAAAATTTGTGAATCTCTCTTATTTTATTGCTAATGCTTTTATTCTTAGATTACTTCAGACAACACAGGAGCACAAAACCAGTCATAAGGGTCAATCTTATGAAATTGAGATTTATGCATCATCTAAAAGCTGAATAAATAAGCTTTCCATTGATGTATGGTTTGTTAGGATAGAACAATATTTGAAAATCTGGAATCTGAGGGTGCAAAAAAATCTAAATATTGAGAAAATCATCTTTAAAGTTGTCCAAATGAAGTTCTTAGCAATGCATATTACTAATCAAAAATTAAGTTCATGATCATGATCTTTACTTAATATCCTAATGATTTTTGGCATAAAAGAGAAATCAATAATTTTGATCCATACAATGTATTGTTGTCTATTGTTGCTTAAGACTGCTTTTGTGCTCCAGAGTCATATTTTTCAACACAGTGACTAAACTGTGTTTGTGTTGTAGACTACTGATGTTTGAGCAAAATATTATGTAAATTAAGGTGCTTTATTGGCATGACAAATAATTTTACATTCACATTGCCAAAGCATTTTTAGCTCTGCTGCGTACAGATAAAATAGTGCAAAATAACAATGAAAAACAGTGTGATTGGCAGAGAAATCTAACGGGAAGACAGCAGTAAATGAATGGCGTGTGTGTGTGCAGTGTTCCTGCAGGATCTGGAGGGGGTGTGTGTGGGTTTGTGGTCTGCGGGAGTGTGTGTTGTTGTAGTTTACGTTCTGCTGGCAAACACAGATCTGTTTCTGACCAAACCGGACCGGACGTCTCTGCACAGACTGGCCAGCGCCGAGCTCAGATCCACCGCTGGAGGTCAGAGATCACAACATCTCATTCACATTACAGCCGGCCGTTCACAAACGTTACAGTTTATTTCAGCTGCTTTCACACATTTTCAAAACTTTGCCTCTTTTTTTCAAACCTTCACACACAAATCCAAGAACTGCACACAAAATGCAAAAAGTCTTGAGTCAAAGTCTGAGATTAGTGTCTGGTTTTGTAGGTTTGGTGTGTGCTTCTGCTGTTTGAGTGTCAGCTTTCAGAAACTGTGTCACAAGTGAAGAGTTTGTAAGCAGTTGAAAAAACTGTAATGCATAAATTCTAATTTGTTTATTTGCATTCGGTGAAATATGATGCAGACATTTCTATGCCAGATTCACCTTGTAAATGTTCTTATACTTCAGTCTTCACAGCTGCTTTACTGTAGTACATGTGGTGAAATTGCATGTTTTTAGTTGTTGATGCAT